AGGGCATCTTTCCAACAAGTTTTTCCATCCAAGCTACAGTTTATTTTATATTAACTTAAAAAGGATTTAATCATTTTCTAAATTATTATCTATTTAATTCTAATCATTATCCAGAATAGTGTATGCTGATGTCAGCATGACGTCAGTAGTCAACAGTGCGTTGACTGGGTCAATCTGACGAGTGGGTCCCGCATGCCATACTCTGTTTTTTCTAATTAGGGTTTAACGAATCTAATTACCGCTTAATTAATTAACAATAGTTAATTAGGTTAACTAAACATGATTAATTTAGTTAATTAATTTAATTAATTAATTATATTTATTATTTTTAATTCTCTTTTTTTATAAAATCGTTCTGGGGCATGGGCCCCAATTGTCATTGGGCCAGGGGGCCTTAGCGGGCGCCGGCACTAGCGGTTATGGGCTGCGGGCGCTAGTGATGCCCGACCAGGCGAGGGCCGAGCGGCTGCCGATGGGCGCCGGCGTCGAGCGATGACCGGGGCCGCGACGAGGCTGGCTGGGAACGGCACCGACGAGGCTGACCGGGAACGGCACCGACGAGGCCGGCCGAGTGCCGGACTGCAGCAGAGGACGGTGGGGCCGCGCGAGGGGCGGTGGAGGTGGCTGTAGGGCAGGGCGGTAGGGGAGCCGTTGGACAGTGCGGCAGCGGCCACGGGGTGTAGCAGTAGGGGAGGTTCGGGACCGGCGCAGCCGGCGTGCATGAAGGCGATGGGAGTAGCCGAGGTGGGGAGAAACGACGATGCGGGCACACGCAGTCCATGTTAACCGCGGGCGGGGCGCGGGGCAGAGCGGGTCCGGGTGTGGGCACGACAAGGCGCGGAGCGCGAGCGTACAATGGTGACCGCGGGGTAGGAGGGAAGGAGGGGGCGCTCACGTGCGCTTGCAGGGGAGAGGAGGGGCCATCGGGGAGGAGGACGAGGAAGCGGGCGACGAGGTCGGAGACGCGAGGCGGTGGGCGATCCGGGCGGCGACGGCAGGGTCTTCGGATATGATGGTGGTGCACGGTGATGACGAGCGGGTGCGGTCCAGTGACGAGGGGATGACGGAGAGGAGATGAGGACGGTGCGGTCCGGTGGGCGGCTCCGGCTCCGGCGGTCTATCGAGGCGTGGTGTCAGGCGGGCAGCAAGGGGCGTCGTTGCACCCCGATCTAGATCGGGGAGAGGGAGGAGCAGGATCGTGGGGGGAAGTGGGGTGGTTGGAACCTAGGGTTCCTGTCGGTGGGGGTTAAGGGGAGAGCGTGTTGGGCCGGTTGGGTCTAGTTGGGCTGGCCTGCTGGGCCGAAGCCCAGTGGGGGCCTTTCTCTCCTTTTCCTTTTTTTAGTTTGTTTTCTCTTTCACCTTTTATTTATTTTCTTTACTGTTTTCATTTAAAGTTTATTTTACATTTAGCTTTTATCTAATATTAAAATGATCCCTAATTTAGTAATACATTAAAACCCACTACAGCAAAAGGTTTTACCCCAAAACAATTTAGTTTAGTATTTTGTTAATTACAAAAGCATTTAATTATTGGTTTTTGCTACTGTTTTATTCACCTAAGGGTATTTAAACATTTTATAAAAATGTGGTTTCTCCACCATAATTTCCTATGAATTATTTGGTTCACTCCGAACATTTTAGTTTTAATATTTGAAAAGTTTTATTGTTTGCTTGATTTTGAATTTGAATTTGAATAGGTTTCGAACTAACGCGCGATTACCAATAGTAATCGAGGTGATGTGGCATCATTAGCCGAGGGTTGTTGTAGCTTTATTACCCGAGCGTCACAGATCGTCACTGGGGTCTGGGGTGCTACCCCCCTTAGAAGCATTGATACGGTTCCTTCCAAACTCATATACCCCATCCTTATTGTCGATCTTCTCAGATTCTCAGGAAAATTCCTTCTCTAGGATCTTCCGGTAGTGGCATAACTTTTTCCTCAATTCATGTGTCCATTTCTCTTGGTAAGGTTCTTCCGAGACCGGTTCTTCTTAGCTGATGGGTCTGACGCCAATACTAAACAACTATCGATATCTCATGGTGGGCAACAATTTATGATTTCTCCTGCAGGAAATGGGTCTGGAGTTCATCCTCACCGTATATCCTACGTTTGGCAACGGTTGCCTTGTACAAGGGAAAAACGTCATACCATTCTGAGGTTTAAACAAGGGTTTGATCGTCGTCTCTCTACTATAGGTAAGTCACTCAGATTTACCATCCCATATAGCAAGGCGAATAATAAGAGTAAGTCGGTATGGTGATCAATCCATCCCACACCCGAATCATTATCTTGTATATGGTTTAGCGAATCTCGCATTGTAACACTCGGTCATCCTCACAAGCATTGCAGACTATCTCTTGTCGATGAACCAAGTTCGGATAAATCCATTGATTCTGCAAGCCAAACAAAATATCTATCGTTCCTTCACAACTCTCAGGTTTTGCGTAACTCCTATAAGATCATTTGTTGATAAAGTCGTATCCTCTTCCAGGGTTTTTCCTTCAGCAAGAATGTGCTTGCTTCTTGGCAGGTCCTGGGGCCTGGGGGTTATGGCCCATCTCATCACTTGTAAACCTTGAACTCATCCTCGGGGAAACTAATCATTATTCCAACATCCAACTTCCTAGCATACTTAAATCCATCCAATTGTACTGTCCCCCTTCCTTCTATTGGTACCAAACTAAGATGTGATTACTTAGACTCATCATGGAGTTACAACTGCTCCATATTACCAATGTTCTAGCTCCTTTATATCCAAATACTTTACCTCTTCATATTCTTGGGGTATCCCACACATCGGGACAAAACTCGTATTTATTTTGTCCATAGTCCCCTTCGTGGAATATCATAATCCTTTCCAGGGGTCAAGGGTTCTCACAATTACTACCACCCTTGAAATGCACAAACTTATCCATAGACCATATTTCTCATATCCTCGAAATTGGTCAAAATCCTTCTTCATAGAGTAACAACTCATAAGATCCAAATAAGTACCAATGATGATTCTCAAAGTATTACAATCTCCTGCATTTCCATCACATGCCTCAACTCAACACCTCAATATAAAAGAATTGTTTCCACTACTACTACTATACTTCTCGTTGCATCAGACGTGCTCGGCATCGGCGCATCCAGCTTGTACGTCTCCTTGGCCTTGGCGACGATGCGCCGAACCTCCTCCCACTTCTCGCACTTCTCGATCCGGGAGAACGCATGGAGGTACTTGAAATCTTGGTCGGCTCTGCTGTCCTGGCGGTACATGGCGAACATCCAAACCATCTGCGCCGAAGAACAAGAGTCGGCGACGCGCACAGCAAAAAGGAGCGAGAATCGGCGTCGGTGCATACCTGACCCTCGATGTTGGGGCCGCTTTCCGGGCGAGCCGCGACCTCCTCGACGATCCCATGCCATTTGTTGCATGCCGTTTGGATGATCGCCCAATGGTTCGCCATGGCCTTCGAGTCGCGCTGCATGTGGATGCCGGTGAAGTAGGCATCGACCAACTTGCGCTGATCAAACTTCGATTTGATGCGCTCCCAGTACGTGTTGGCGCTCTGGTTCGTGCCGGTGATCGGGTCGAGGCAAACGATCTTCCATGCTTGGGCGAGGCACTCGTCTTCTTTGGACGCCCACTTGACACGCGGCTCGCCGGTCCTGGCCGCCCGCTTCTTCTTCTTCCCTTTCCTCGTCGGAGCAGGGGTCGGCTCCTCCTCGTCCTCCTCCTCCTCCTCCTCCTCCTCGCCGTAGTCGAGCTCGTCGTCCATGTCGCCGACGAGGTCCATTGTATCGTCTTGCGCATTGAATCCCGGGAAGGCGGCGACGGCCGAGCCGCTCGTGATGATGTCGTCCATGTCAGCTTCCGTCGTGTCGGGGTTGCCGAAATGCGACGATGAGGCTTGCAAGAAGTGCAAGGCGCCACAGCGCAAATACGGCGTCGGTGAGGCGGCGTACGCCGGCGGCGAGTAGGTGTACGGGGGTGAGGGCGTGCGCTGAGCAGGGTGGCCATGCGGAAAGGTGATGTTGGGGTTGAACCCGCCGTGCGCGTCGCCGTCAGCGTAGCCAGGTGAGGGCGCGCATCCCCAGGGTTGTGACGACGATGAGAAGCCGGCCGGCAACCCGACGCTCTGCTGGCTCCAGGCTTGCGGGCCGTGGACACTGGGTGGGTTCATCATCCCGGCGTGTGACGCCTCTGCCTGCTCCGCCGTGCGAGACGCCTCTGCCTGCTCCGACGCGGCCGTCGACGCTGCGTTCGCGTCCCGGACCCTCTTGGCGTTGAGCTTGTTCGGCCTGTCGGTGGTGACAGCCTCCCGGTGCTGAACCTCCGCCCCCCAGTCGGCGTTCGACATGCTCGGTGGTTTGACGGCGGCGCCCTCGGCTTCCTTTGCTTTGGCTGGGTGGCGTCGGCACCGACAGCGGTGCTAGGGGCCGTATACTTCTTCAGCGGCATGGCGGCCGAATGGAGGGGAGATGGAGGAGAATGGCGGGAGAAGAGGGGAGAATGGAGGGAAAGAAGGGGGATCGGCGGGAAAAAGGGCCATCTCTCGCTGACAGAGCGGACCCACGCATCTTTTCGCTTCAGCCGGCGCCCCCAAGCGATCCCCGGGAGCTTGGGTTCAGCTCGGGTTTGCCGGCTGTTATTTCGGCCCAGATCGGCAATAAACAAGGCCCTGGGGCGCGACTGGGCCGACTTTTTGACGCTGACGATAAAAAAAAAGCATTAGGAGGATGTTGGGGACGCGAGTGAGGATGCTCTAATGATGTACAACTTCTACAATCTATACAAAACGATTTTAGTGACTGCAGATATTCATTTGCTAGAGTTTACTATAACAGCCCTGAGCAGCCGACGAAGCCTGGAAACAAGAAAGACGCTGAGATCTGAATCTAGATCTTAAATATGGACTAGATCAGCAGCCTACTCGGAGCTTTGCTTCTACCCTTCTTTCCCTCTGCTCGCCATCGACCGAACCACAGCCGCCGCCGCTTCCCCGGGGATAAAATGGCGACGGCCTCTTCCTTCGCCGCCGTCTTCATCAGCAGCGCCATCGCCTCCTGCTTCGCTGAGGTACACCACAGCATTGCAGTCTCTCTTGCTCTATCCTGGCTGTGCCGCTGCCTAGCACATCGCTTGTATTGGGGATTGGGATGAATGCCTGCTCGATCTTGCTAATGCACCCCGTGATAGAAGGGAAGCCTTTTGGATAACATTTCCAGCCTCCATACCATACCAGTGTAGTACATATAGTAGTGGTATATTAGTCTGTTTCTCGTGCCATAAAAAACAAGCAACAAGACCTGAGTAGAAGAGACTAGAGAACCATTCCATTTTCATCAGCTGAGCTGCTGCACTAAACTAGAGCTATAGCTAGGCCTAGGGTTTCTTTGTTGCCTTACCTCTCCTTACCTGGATATGATATGATGATTACTCAGAGTCTCAGACTCGTTATATATTGATCATAATACTTGAGATTGTTGTTGTCATTGATTCCATCAGGTGTGCACCATTCCTCTGGACACAGCCAAGGTGCGTCTTCAGCTGCAAAAGAAAACAGCTGCTGGGCCTGCAGCTACAGTAGGAATGCTGGGCACAATGATGTCGATTGCAAGGGAGGAAGGCGTCACCGCACTTTGGAAGGGCATCATCCCTGGCTTTCACCGCCAGTGCCTCTATGGCGGCCTCCGTGTCGGCTTGTATGAGCCTGTCTGTGCTGCACCCATTTCACCTTGCAGTTGCAGTGCATTTCCCTTCTTCAGTCCAGAGTGACCAATTGCCTGACAGGATTGCTCTTTCTGCGCATTGCAGGTCAAAGCCTTATTTGTGTTTGTAGGTGATGCCACTTTAATGAATAAGATTCTTGCCGCTCTTACAACTGGTAAGCATTTCCAGCCTCTCTTCACTGGAAAAACTCTACTTTTCTCATAACATTGCCACACTACCCTGGTCCATTGTAAAGGGCTGTGCCAGGTTAATGTGGATGACGAAACACACACTGAACGAATTAACTATGTGTGCATAGGTGTCATAGCGATTGCTGTCGCAAATCCAACTGATCTTGTCAAAGTGAGATTGCAAGCAGGTGGAAAATCTACTGCCGTCAAGAGGCACTATTCTGGAGCCCTTAATGCATATGCCACCATAGTCAGACAGGTTGCTGCTACGATTCATCATGACAACGACCAGTAAAAGGTTACAAGATTATTCCTCTCACCCATGGTCTGTAAGCTTGTTATTTTTCTAGGAAGGTATCGGAGCTTTGTGGACTGGCCTTGGTCCTAATATGGCACGAAATGCTTTGATTAATGCCGCCGAGTTGGCCAGCTACGACCAATTTAAACAGGTGCCTCTTCATTCTCCCTCATCTTTCGATCCTGTATTTAATTATACTTTCACCACATTTTTCTTTGTGTGCAGATGTTTCTAGGTCTTCCTGGGTTTACAGATAATGTTTATACTCATCTTTTAGCTGGACTCGGTGCCGGTATTTTTGCTGTTTGCATTGGATCTCCAGTGGATGTGGTATTGTCTGCAAAAGCTTTATACCTCACTATTTCCCTTGTCTTCTATATTAACGAATGGTCTAGTTTTCACATAATTTTAACTGCATGAGTCCTTTGTAGGTAAAATCAAGAATGATGGGCGATTCAACATACAGAAGTACATTTGATTGTTTCGCCAAGACATTAAAAAATGATGTATGATGAACAATTTCCATTATTTTCAGTATTGTGCTGTTTTATACCTCCAAATTTCTAAGAACTTAATAGAAGATAACTTTTGATGTTCTACCACCAATATCCAAACACTTAGCGAATTTCATTTTCCACTTGTGAAGCCCATATCTGTATGTATCAAATATGTCAACATCTGCCCTTAATATACTATATCATCCTTACTCAAATAAGAAACGGCAATATAGTTGATATTTTGTGTCAGATAGATAGTCATCACCTTGTTAGGTTATTGAGTTTTTCTCTTCCGTGGGTGCCTGGTTGGTTTGCTCAACATATGCGTAATGGTTGTTGATGTATCCAGGAGATAAATGTCGTTTTATTGCTGACTACCTGTTTTCTGGATTATTTGAAGATGCTGACTTACGCTTGACTGCATTTTGCAGCTTAATCAGGAAACATGTGCATGGCTATTTTTTCTGTCAGCCTTTTTCTAATGCTTATATTATCACATTCCAAACCTCTCGTCCCTCTTCGTGTCGCCCCTGCCTCTGATCCCTCGACACGGGAGGCGCCAACCCTAGCCGCCAGCGCCCCGATGACTCCCCTCCCCCCTCCGTCGCCGCCTAGGGTCGGCGCCGGCAAAGCCCGTGCATTGACAGGTAGCGGCCGAGGGCTGCTCCTCCTCTTGGATCGAACGGCGGCAATGGCGCTGGATCCGCGGGATGTGGCCTCTCCCTTGGTCCACGGCGGCGCGACGGCGGCGCTTGTGGTGGCGCGGGTGGAGATCGGCAGATGATGGGGGTGGGGCTGGGCGTGGCCGGTAGCGGCGGCGAGGTCCGGCCTGGATCCCAGGGCGGCGGCCCTAGTCGGTGGTGGAGAGTGAAGCTCAGGCAGCCCGCGGCGGCATGGCGTGGTGGTGCCCCTGTCCAAGCGGAAATGCGTCGGCGATCTGGTGCTCCGGATTGGATTAAGATAAGTGATGGTGACGAGCAAAAGCGGGATCTTTCCTGGCGGCTCACGCGGTTGGGCGAAGTGGGGTGGCGGCCCTCCTCCCAGGCTCCAGTGGTGGTGCACTCCGGTAGTGGCCGGTGCGCCAGGGCTCCCACGGCGGGAGTGTTGTTGTGGGTGGTCGCCGGATCTGGGCGGCCTGATCTGCGGCTTTGAAGGTGGTCTGGCCGGTGCACATGGATTCTCATGGGATAGATCCAGGTGAAAACCGTCTTCGGCTGGTGGCCGGAGCCGGTGACAGAGACGCCCCAGGCGCCGTTTCCTTCTTGAAGGCATCATCGAGGTGAAGCTCCCACCTCATTCCGCTACCTTCGGGGGAAACCCTTGATCGGCCGATCTAATGATGGCGGCGCTTAAGTGTCGTTCCCTCGTTGGGGGCATCATTCTTGTAGGGGTTCATCGGCTGGAGGGACCAGTGGACGACTACAACGGTGGAGCGGTGTGGCATCTAACAACCCGACAACGGCGGGTCTCGGTGATGGTCGCGTGTTGATGGACGCGTGCAGGATGGTGGCGCTGTCTGGCGTTGTGGTGGCTTCGACGGCAGTTGGGCTTGGCAAGGCATATGCATTGATCTGTCCTGAAGATGGGACGGCGGAAGATGACGGCGGCGGACTTTTCCGTGTGTGTTGAGGGTCTGCTACACCGGTTGGTGCTCTCGGCTCAAGGCAGTCTAGGGTGGCCACCGGATTAGATGGTGGGCCTGGATGCGCCAGGGCACTCCATGAGACTTGTAGGTGTAGCGGTTGAGGTCGGAAGGAAGGTGGCTTTGGGTTGATCCATGTATCTACTTTGTCGGACTCTGTTGAATAATTAATAAAGATGGCTGTATGCATCGCTTGATGCAGAGGCCGGGGGTAAGCCTCCTTTTCGAAGTAAAAAAACATGCCGATGTATTGTAGTTTGAGTTTAGCCTAGATTTTGTTAAGATCACTACAGAATTTTAGAGCTACGACAGAGGGAGAGACATTGGGAAAGCTAGTAAGGAAAAGAAACGTGCCTCTTTGGCCATTCCAAAGCTTTGCTTTCGGGTCTGTATCGAACCGCTTTATTTGTTTTGTACTACTTTTTGTTGTAAACGCTTTGCTTCAGTTCGCTAAAGCCGGGCAAGCGTCTCCTTTCTAAAGGTAATTCCAAAGCAGCAGTTATGTACTAGGAAAATTTCGTTGGTTAGTCTAACCCCAAACTTCCGTTTCTGTCCCATTCAGGCCACAGTTGCTAGCAGTTTTGATGATATGGCACGCTAGAGTTTCATGATGTGGCATGCCACATTTAGCGAAAATTGATGAAATGGCATGCCGTCTCAGTAATCATTTTCTATAAATAGGCATAACATACTCCTGTGTGAATGCCAGCAACTTGTGGTTCTACCAACTATACCTCTTTTTATTGTTGATCTGGTTTTGGATGGTGCAAATGCTTGTGCTGGAGGAATATGCGTTATTCTGCAATAATTTAGAAAGTGTAGTGTCATGTTACTAGGTGCTTTGCAGAAAATCATCACTACAATACATCCATACTGATCAAAGATCGTGCTTTTCTGCAGGGACTTGCTGCTTTCTACAAGGGGTTTATTGCAAACTTTTGTCGAGTTGGGTCATGGAATGTGATAATGTTCTTAACTTTGGAACAGGTAACCTTTTCTACTTCCAACATAATTCTGACTAAATTTTTTGCACACTATTCCTGTAAAACTAACTGATTCATTTTTCTTTTGGTCGAATATAAAAAGGTTAGAAGATTCTTTCAGTGAGGATTATATATAAACTCTGCGCTGCAAGGTTTCATGGAACAAGCTGGGTACAGCTTCTGGAGCAACATACATACACAATCATTCAGCATAGGATTCAGATTTCATTGTACAGGAGAATGCATTCTCATGTTGTAATTTGATCTATTTGATGACTACGACCCAATCAGTCATGAGCATGTTGTAAATTGTTACTCCCTCCGTCCCATAATGTCAAAAAACGTCTTACATTATGGGACAGAGGGATTATGGGACAGAGGGAGTAGCTTTTAACGATGCCCACTTTATTGGGTTAATAAATTTGAGAAGTTATACTTAACAAACATCTGCTTATTTGTGCAATGAGATCATAAGAAACTTACTTTATAATCTCTAAATACTACATGTCAGCAAGTTTTTTTTGTTCATCCAGAAATAAGTTGTCTCACCGAGCCTCCTCAACGATTTGGATTTCTGACCGTTGGCTATGGCTGCTTGATGCGATCTGGGCCGTCGGATTGACCCTTGGAACGACCTCGCTCGTCGGATCAGATCCTGGTATGGTAGGAATGAATAGTTTCACCTCGACCGTGCCACCGCATGTAAATAGCTTTGCCCCGTCGAGAGCATTTTCGTTATTTCATGCTTACACATATAAATTGCGTCCGCTCCCATGTAGATGACCTAGCCGCCTCTCGCCCGCACTCGCGCTCTCAACCCTTGTCCTCCCGCATCCCAGCCCTGCTCGCCCCAGCCCTCTCCTCAACCTCTCCCTCCACCAGACCTTGCCGCCCCGCCCACTTCGCCGCCACCAACGCCCCGCAGACCTCGCCGCCGTGGACCTCTCTCCTCGTCTCCCTCGCACCACGCTGCCCGCAGCCTCGCCCTCTCGTCATCAGAAGGGAAGGGAAGGGAAGAGAAGAGGGAGAGTGAGCAGGTCAGGCTGCGGCCAAGGTGCTCGCATATTCGCCGGTGATGTCATCCGACCTTGGCCTCCGAGTGCTTGTGCTCTGCCTGCGCCGCTCCCACGCAATGCCTGCTCGGGATGCCGCCCTCCCCCCTGCTCCAACCCTAATCCCCTCCCCTCCCCTCACGCTGTTGCTGCTTTTGGTCACGCAGGTGCACGCACGCGTCCCTGCTCCTCTGGTGGACAAGGTCGGTTCCGATCTGGATGAGTAGCAACTGCTGCAGGTGGACGAGGCACGAGCCCTCATGGCTCCTCCCTCCTCCTACCCCCCTGAACCTGGTGAGCTCCACCCCCTCTTCCTATCCCTGCACATCTATCTTATCTAGCCAATTCTCAGATTTAGCTAGGTTCCAAAGAAGAGATTTTTCTTTGTCTTTCTGTTTTGCTTTTACCTTGCTGCCAAGGAAGGCCTTGGATCTAGCTAATTATTTACACAGTACATGTTTGTTGCCTTGCTCGGCTTGTTGGCCATATTCTGCTCAATGCACGTACACTAAAATATGTATTATTTTGGCAAATTGTTAAATCTGCGTATGTTGTATTCTTGCCAATTTTAGGTTCTCAACTACATGGAAGTGATAGTACATTTTTAGTTCTCCATGCTTATTATCATTCTTGATATTTTTCTATTTACAGCTGCATGGAAGTGTTAGAACTTTTCAGTTCTCCATCCATGGTAACTATCGATATATGACTCCAGTTCATGTTCTTCTAATTCTACATTAGGGTATGAAAAATCCACTCTTATACATCACTACTCCTTTACTTCATATGTGTGTCCTGATAAATATGTGAAGGATGTGAGGTGTCGCTGATGAGACCTTTGTGCTAGCTGGTGATCATGGACAATGCTATATAGTTAGTTTGATATGCTATATGGTCTAGCTAGGTTCAAAGGAATGGGATTTTTAGATCAGTCTCATATTCATGTTAGTTTTATAACAAATCGGTGAAATTTACTTTTGTGTGTTGTTGCTTCAAGTTAAAGTTTGGTCACTTGCTTTAAGCATCCTATCCATTAAGGATGTGTTTCTCTTGATACTGCATGCCCATGCTAATTGTTTGAGGATGTTTCAGATTGGGCGTCACATGCCATCACATGTTTAATACTGATGTATCCTTAAGCATCCTATTCGATTAAGGATGTGTTTACCTGGTTATCACATGTTCACGCTAACTGTTTAAGTGATGTGCGGTTCGGGTGTGGATTTGTGTCTGATCAATTAACAGTTCTATTAATACTGATATGTCCTTAAACATTATATGTGTATTGCATCACTCCCGTGTTTACTCTTCTCTGGTGCTGTTGTTACTCACACAGTTTGGTTTGTGAATACAACACTGTTAAACATTTAGTTTTGTTTTCTCAGTGCTTTCGAGAAGATGGACATGAGGCCCCAACCTAAACTGGCATAGCCAAGCGGGGTTTTATCCTTCCACTTGGCATTTCCTTCTCAGTTTTGTATGTTTAATTTTTAGAGTCGTGGTTACTATATAAACTGAGATGTGGAGATTGCAGTATTGATCTTAGTTCAGTTCATTCTATTACGTGGCCTCACTTTGTTGTCCGTGATTTCCCTCATTTGATTGATTTGACACATGTTCATTGACTAGATTATAGTTTACTACATTTCTAAGTGATACTTGATTTCTTGGCATTGTTCATTGCTTCGAGCCATGTCTGATACTGAATTTGACCATGATCCTCTTGCAGTAAATATGACTTATTTGCTCACTATTGGAATATTTCTTTTCACATATTGCTACCTCCTTAGGTGTAATGTTGTTTAAAAGGTTTGTCTTGGAGCTCCTTTGCTCCTGATCTTGGTGTAGATAAACCAAAACTGCTCCTTTTAGGGCATCCAAGAGTGTGAAACGACCAACGATGTAATTAGCATATGTGGACAGATATGCTACAATGTTCCCAATTGTTTTTCAGTGATAACTCTTGCTCCAAATTTTGCTTTCCGAGAGATGGTTGAGGCAGAGATTATTGTGTTATGGCAGTGCACACTATGGTGCCGGGTTGCATAGGGGCATGCCCTTAGTATTCAAATAGCATGTACTAATTGAGGTTTCACCTTTTATTGCCTACTCACAGATGTCACCGGAAGCGTCATGGTTATTTCTGAAGCTCACCATTTTCTTGGATTTCTTGGGGTTTGATGTAAATCTGGAAAGGGCTATATGGCAACATCCGTCTGCCAAAAAATTAGTTATTTGGTATGTCCGAGAACTTCCCATTAACCAATTCTGCTTTTGTATTTCCTTTTGCATCGGCTTATTTGGTTTCAGGCTTATGTGTTCAGTGTTCATCTTGTAGAAGATCTTACATCATAATTTGGTGTCCTGTTCAGTGGTAAACAATAAAAATTATTGTTGTCTCTTGCGACGATGAACAATTTATAGTTGTTTTAGTAGCATAATTACATAATGATATTGTTAAAAGGTAACTGGTTTATGAGAATAGTTCCATTATTTAGTGTGACGATCGTGTTCTTCCTGCAGCGGCTTGGGGAGGAGTGTCGTGTTTATGAGGTAAAAGGCTGAATTGAAAGCGCCGCTGGGACTGCTCACGGTGCATAGAACTTCCATGGCAGCACGGGCGATTCCAAGGCCCACTTGAGCTCCTCTTGCTGATGCCAGACAGTGAGGTTTCTCAACCTCCAGTCCATTAGCCTAGCCATGTAAGATTGCTTTGCTAGAGACCATTCATTTTTTGCCATCCATTCATTACAAACTTGATTCTTCGTCACAAATGGATCCTTAATTATGCATGTCACTTTGTGATGCGGAGCATCCCACGATCATCCCCATGGACGCATCTACATCCCCTACAACACCACTTGGACCTATGACTCGAGCACGTGCAAGAGTTCTTGAAATCGAGGTGACATCACTCCTCTCACAACTCCCTTTCGATTCACATGAGACATGGTTACTACCTCAAATGGAGATGCTTTGCATACTCAGGTACCAAGGAGTTAACCATGGAGAAGTTAGGAAGCAAGGAGAACCGGAAGCGGAAGACATGCGTGAAGACGGAGAGGAAAAGCACCAAGTCCCAGACTGGCCGGACGATCCGGACAGAGCCCGGACGATTCGGACCCCGGTCCGGACGATCCGGCTAATGCGCACCGAAGATACCCGAAGCTCCCACCTGAAGCCGGATCATCCGAACAATGTCGCGGATCATCCGAACCCTGCCCGGACATCCAGACCCCCAGCCGGACATCCGGACCTGCACCGCCACCAGTCGCGCCTCTAGCTCATCCGGGCCTCCACCCGGATCATCCTGACAAGCCCGGATCATCCGGCTCCACCCCCGGATCATCCGGCCAGCGCCTGCGCGCGCGTGTTGGGCTGAGCCCATGTACCCCTTCGCCCCCCTAGCCTATATATAGGACTCCTCCTCCTCACTTCGAGACTTAGCATTGTGATAGCTCATTTTGAGATAGAGCTCTGCTCATCCGTATCGGATCTACTCCACGTGAGGGACCGTGCCTCTTCGGAGAAGATCCATTCGGATTCAAGGCCTCCATCCGGAGAAAACAATCAAGACCTCCTCACGGAGAAGAACGGTTATTCGTGTATCGTCCTTTGTTGACTTTGGATCTCGTGTTACCTTGTGCCTCGATGATTTAGACCTTGTGTGATTGATCTCTTGTCGGTTGAGTGTTTCTCTCGTTTTCCCTTTGTGATTTCCCCGTGTTCTTCCGCGCGTTCTTCGTGTCTCCCCGTAAGATCCCCTCCAAACGTGAAAGATCGGCCCCTAGGGTTCCGCCCTACATCATCTTGGTATCATGAGCCACGTTGATCACGTTTTTGGAGCCCCTACCCCGTGTTTTCTAGCTTGATTTTGTTGTTTTCATCCTAAATCTGAAAATCCCCACCAAAAATAGCCCCCAATTGTTTTTGTGATTTGTTGATTTTGATCCGTGGATTCGGTGTGTAACTCGTGGATCTTGCTTTTCCCCACCTTCCCCCCCTCGAAATCCATCCAAAATCTATGGAATCTTCGAAATTCTCGCCGTTTTCGAGTTCATCCCGAGCAGTT